CATTGCCGGTGTATGGGATTAATTGACAATAACCATCATTTCACTTACTGTCGATCTATGGCTCTGAAAATAATTAATTGTTAACACAACGATCACATTTATGATAACAATCAACACTATCATCGACTCCGACAAAGTGATGGTAAGGGAAAGATTGATAGGGGGTTATGTTCGCATCACTTGTGTTGTATTCATTGTCTTTGTATTGACTGATCAGGTGTTAGACGCGGGACAAGTGGTTGAGTACGACATTCCCCACCATTTATTGGACAAAAGCGATGGTCTGTTCAGTAAATTAGTCAAACAGACGGGAAATGAAATGTCTGTTAGACTGAAACAAATGGCGATACAATACTATAATCGCAAAAATAATATCAATGAAAATGAAGGGGAAGTGAACAGCAATTGTACCGACAATTACTCATGATAAATTAATTATATTTGTTTATTGTTTATTGGTATTTATGTTTTAACTAATATAAAATATACAGATAATATTAATGTAAACTTTAAATATAACAAGTATTTATTATAAAATTCATTTTAATCAAATTTTAGCGGAACTTTATATAAATTATTACGCAATTGTGATTTTAATTAACTTTTAATTTAACATAATTTGTTTGGCAATTATTTTCACGCTTAGAATTTTGCAAAACAAATTAAATTATCAAGGGACTTTATTTGCAAAAATTTCAGAAACAAAATTATTTACAGCATTTATAAATTATTAGTATTTAATATTTTTATAAATCATTAGATATTTGATAAAGTGTTTATTGTGATATATGCATAAACTGTAATTTTAATTTAATAAATATTTTTGCTTAAATAAGCGAGATTATTTTAAATAATATTTAATATATCGGTGATTTGTTTGTATATTTCAATAACTCTTCATACTTTATAATATAATACAAAAATTAAAAATATTTAATCATGCTTATATATATTCAATTAATTAAAGGCCTTATCTATCTATAATAATGTTTGACACCTAGTAATTTGAAAAATGACATTTCAAAAAATTAAAAAAAAATTACAAAATTATTAAAAACCAAAAAAAATATAAAATAATGAAATGTAAATTAAAATGACTTGTATATGATTGATAATAATATCACCGATATATTTTTTGGAATTTAAATGAAATATGCTTGGTTAGAACCATTAAAATCTTTATTATTACAAAATATAATAATAAAATATTTAATTATTTGATGTAGTCAATATATATTTTTTAGCGTTTAAGTTAACAATTAATTTTTTTGATTTATTATAAGTTATTAATAATTACAATTTACTAAATTAAAATTGTGGTATAACAATTATTTAAACAAATAAATAAATTGAGATTGTTATTTAACAACTAATGATTTAATAACTGAACTAACATTACGGTAAAAGTAACGACAGATGCAATAAATGTGAATAAAAATTTTACATCAATTGTAAACACATTTAAAGCATTGTATTTCTGATTATAATAATTATTCACAGCATTTATAACCATTGTCATTTTTGTGGTCAACACTTCAGGCGTATGGGCTTTATTGATAATATTCATTAACTCATCTACTGTTGGTCTATGGGATTGAAAAAAATTGATAGTTAAAACAACGATCACATTTATGACTACAATCAACGCGTATTCAATTAAACCCCAATAGAGAAATAAAATGCAAATTTTGATATTAAATGAGATATGCGTTAATCGAAGACAAGTGTTGGCAAATATTTCGCAAAACCATAGAAACGGTATAAAACCCAACGAGTTATTAATGTTAGATTTATATTGTCGAATAATTCGCAAATTTTGCTCTAGGTAAATATAATTATTACTTATTAGCAATCGCTTTTCCAGCAGGTAAACCCCATAACACAAATGAATATACAGTAGATTAGTTGCTGTGATCCAACCAAATACAGTAAATGTCCATATTAGAAAAAATTCAATATGAATGCTCTTGATCATAAATTCAATTATAAAGGCCACACAATTAATAACCCCAAATGTACACCAAATTAAAGTAATAAATCTGGCGCTAAGTCTCATTGAATTTATATCATTTACACTTAATTCTTGTGACAAATCTGACAGAATATTCTTGATGTTAACACATTTAACGTAAAATAATACAAAGCTAATGCAGATTATGGTAATTTTCACCAGAGTTGAACATGGCCACAAGGCCAGATTAAATGAGCTTAACTTGGATAGATAAATAGATGTATAATACACAAAACGTATAATAGTGCCAATTGCTAATAGTTTACATGTTACTTGCATGGATTTTTTAAAATACCATAGCTTTCTATTGCTATTATCGGTGTAACTAATATCGCAACCATTTATCAGGAATATTAGTGAAAACGGGTATATAATGCAATTCGCATTTACCTCAACCATCTTTGATCAAAATATAATAACTATAAACTTAATTTAGCTGCTTTAAAAAATAATAATTATATTATTTATAGAATTAAATAAATAAATTAGTTTTAACCATAGGAAAAGTTTGATCAAGTAAGTTTTATTATCAAATTAATTTAAGAACCCTGTTAAATAAAATAATTTTATTTGACATTTAACATTATGCACATTATCTTATAAGTTTTAAATAACATTAAAATTAATTATTATTTATTTTATTATAATGTGTTAATATAGATTTTATTTAACATTATTTGTATAAAAGTTGATTGATCGATTTACAATCTATTTACATTTATGTTTTTAATCAAGAAAAATATTTCATAATGATTTATTTGTTACATATATTTATAAAATTATTTTAATAAAATTAAAATAAATTATAACAGTATGTTTACCTTAATGTGATTATTATTTATTTTATCTGTTTGAATAGCATTTGATTGATTAATTTACCTTTATGTTTTTAATCAATAAAACATGCTATTAAAAAAGCGTACAATATTGACATTCATATACTATATTACAATTAATTAAAACAAGTTATTTAATATTAATGATTTAATAACTCGACTAACATTACGGTAAACGCGACAACAGATGCCATAAATGAGAATAAAAATTTTACATCAATTGTAAACACATGTAAAGCACTGTATGTCTGATTACAATAGTTATTCATAGTATTTAAAAACATTGTCATTTTAACCAAACGATCCGTGGTATTCATTGCCGGTGTATGGGATTAATTGACAATAACCATCATTTCACTTACTGTCGATCTATGGCTCTGAAAATAATTAATTGTTAACACAACGATCACATTTATGATAACAATCAACACGTATTCAACTAAACTCCTCCAGAGATAAGTATGACATTCATGGGAATCGGTATTAATTGAAATATGCGTTAATAGGAGACAAATGTTGGAAAAAATTGTAAAAACATAAAAAAATATAAAAACCTAAGAGTTTGGATGATAACAATATTTATAACTAATGAAGATTATAGTTATAAATATGTTAACTTATAAGTTTATTTGTAATAAACTTGCAGTTAGCTTTAATTTGTATACAGTGGTATTTGTAATTAAGTTAAACAATAAAGATTCTTTAGATTCTATAGTTATTATCATATATTGTCTGAAATTTTTTACAATAAAACATTGTTACCAAAAGTTACCACTGATTATTACAACTTGTATAGTGTTTAACGCTTTTATATTTCTTTGTTACAACCATTTTATAATAATAAGGTGTAATAATTTATAAATATTTTATTTTGATTATTGAATTAATTTTTTAAATGTACATTTTACAATCTTTGTTATAAGTTATTAAATTATTTTTACAATAAATCAATAGAAAATATTTTGTAAAAATGTGTGAAATACTAAAGAAATTTTCATTTTATGATACAATTCCTACAGAAATCAGTGAAAATATTTCAAAATTACACGTTTTTTATGATTTTAATAATATTATTAATGTATTGATTGTGACAATTGATGATAACGTCTATGGATTTGGCAATAATACAAATGGATGTCTGGGTTTGGGACACAACAACCCCTTATTATCACTAGAAATCATACCACAATTATGTCAAGAAAACATACAATATTTTGTTAATGGAAGTGACTTTGTGTTAGCCGTGAATGATATGAATTGTATATATAGTATGGGCTGTAATACATGGGGGCAATTAGCCCGCAATGATAATAGTAATCAAACTAACTTAACGCCACAAAAAATATCATTCTTTGATGATAAAAATATTATTAAAATCAGTTGTGGTTCTCTTCACACACTTGTACTTACTAGTGATGGCCGGGTGTATGCCTGGGGTGACAATATTTGTGGACAAATTGGTTGCGGAGATAATAATGGCTTCATTTGTACACCAATTGAAATAGATTTCAAGTTTAATTGTAAAATAAAAGCAATTTATTGTTATAACAACTCTTCGTTTGCGATCACATCCAATGGACAGGTCTTCAGTTGGGGCGACAATAGAGGCCATCATTTGGGACACAATATAACTGATGAACGAGTATTTAACCCCCAATTGATAACAAACATTAATGATATAAAGTTAATTAGTTGCTCTATTAATGGCGCATATTTCCTGACATCAAATGGTTTATATTTTTGTTGTTATAATAGTATTATTGACAATACCAGTGGTAACAGTGCTACTGTTCGTAGAATTAAAAAAAATTCCAAAATGAGGTATAAAATGCCAGAAAACAATCTGAATTTAATATTACCTCAATATAATTTCCAAAATTTACAACAATTCAATTCATTTACATCCGTAAGAAATATCATTATTTGTGTTTTAATAAATGATAAAATATATAAAATATCAGACAAACACAAATTAATTGAAACACTTTATAATAACTTTACTGACTATTGTGTCAATGAATATCAAATTACTTACAATACAATTAATTTAAATAAATCAAATGATGGCTATTATCGAAATCAATTTTCCGAACTCTCAACCATAGGTTCGGGTGGTTTTGGGACTGTATTTAAAGTAAAGCATAGATTGGATGATAAGATATATGCCGTTAAAAGAGTACAATTTAAAGGTAATTAATCTTTATTGCTATTTATAAAAAAAAAATAAAGCAAATAGGTAATAAATAAATATACCGTAAAATATATAACAGAAATAAATGCAGACAAAGAAAACAGAGTTTTAAAAGAAGTGAAAAGTTTGTCAAAATTGGATTCAAATTTTGTCGTTAAATATTACAACTCGTGGACCGAAGGCAAACACTTGTACATACAGATGGAGTACTGCCCGCAAACACTCGCAGATGTGCTAAAAGACAAAGAGCGGGCATTTGGCAGACAATCACCGGATGAATCGATGACAGTGTTTGAGTATTTCATGTCATGTGAATTGTTTCGAGAACTTTTGCAATGCCTTGAATATCTTCATAACCAGAATCCTAAAGTTATTCATCGGGATCTTAAACCATCTAATATACTAATATCGCGTACCATTACTAATAACACATTTATTAAACTCGGTGACTTTGGTTTGGCCACTGAACACCACCGGCCATCTAATAGCCACACCCGAGGGGCGGGAACTCCTGATTATATGGCACCCGAAGTGCATCTTTATAATACATACGATTGCAGGGCTGATGTGTATAGTCTCAGCGTTATTGGAATTAAATTGTTTGAAATTAACACAACGTATGTTTTAGCTTTAAATGCTATATCAATCAAACATTTAATTTATTGCATTATATTTAAATAGCGTTAATCCTGTAGATAAATACAATTCATCCCAAATTTCAGCTCAATTTAATTATTTATATCACGTGATTACACAAATGTTTGAGTCAATAGCTACCAAACGGCCCACCAGTGATCAAGTACTGGAAGAGATTAGCCAGTGGTCAGTCGATAATGACATAATGATGGCAAACCCGTTGGAATTCAATGCAATTTTAAATAAACTTGAAACATGTGGCAACTCATTTTTTCATGAGTTCTTGTTATGTAAGACAAATAATAAAGTGTTGTCAACTGGTATGGATAGTCAACATAATATTAGTTTATTTGCTTTTCAAATAATCATATTCAAGAGAGCCCGAAATTAATAGACGCCCCCCGTTTATAATGTATAATTCCTATGCTGTGTTCACGCTGGTGAACGAATCGGGCACTTATGATCATATTTAATTAAATATTATTTACATCTCTAATATAATTGATTTTAACAATTTAATTGTGAAGGTGCATTACCAAAGAGGCCATTGACTATGAATGTGCCCAAAGAAATATATAGTCAACCTGACAGATCTATATCACGGGTAAATTATAATCAAATTGAATCAATGTAAAAATTAATAAAAACAAAATTCTACTCATTTTAATGAACAGATCCAGAAACGTGAGATAACAATAATATTGTTTGGAGAGTCAGGTGTGGGAAAGTCAACATTCATTAACTCATTCGTTAATTATATTTCTTACGAGAGTCTTGATGCGGCCATTGCTGGCCAACCTATATGTCTAATACCCGTAAGCTTTACAATTGGTGACCCAAAAACTCGACAACTAATTCGTGTAACATATGGTACTGAAGATGTGAATGAAAACATTGCAGATCCGACCAAATCTGCGACACATTATCCCAAATGCTATAAATTTCATAACGATAACATTGTCATCAATATAATCGATACGCCAGGAATTGGGGACACACATGGTGTGGATCGGGATAATGAAAATATGAAAAATATTTTGAATTTCATTAGTAATTATCGGGCAATCAATGCTTTTTGTGTTCTTTTAAAATCAAACGAAACGAGAGTTGGAGTCTTCTTTAAATATTGTTTATTGAATTTGTTCACTCATTTAAATAAAAGTGCCGCAAATAATATACTATTTATATTTACAAACTCTCGTAGCAGTTTTTATATACCCGGGGAGTCCAGTCTCGCATTAATGAGTATTTTGGACCAAATCCAAAAAAATCCACCAAATGTTGATATACCATTTGATTTTGATGCATCTTATTGTTGTGATAACGAAGCGTTCAGATACCTGTGTGCTTCAGTTCCGCCAAATAATATACAGTTGAACCCTAAACTTAAATCTTACTATGTTGAAAGTTGGGATGTGTAAGCATTATCAATTAAATACTCGTTATCGAAACATTTCAAATAAAATTAAAACAAATATATCAATTACAGTTCTGTGGCTGAATGTAAGCGTTTATTTACGCGCATAAAACAAATGCCGGCACATAATGTGATGGACACCCTATCTCTGAATAACGCCAAACAAACCGTACAGTTATTAAACAAACCGTTGGCCGACATCGCGAACAATATCATCGAAAACGTTAACATTGATGGAACTAATGATGAGAGTGTTAGCGCTGATCGAGTACTGGCGGCCGAATTATTGGCGGAAAAGCAAATAATTATCAATTCTGTGTCAATATTTGCCTGTTTTATGGCCGAAAACCAGTTGACACCCGACAACGACGCCTTCGAGTTATACATCAATCATTTAATAGCCAATGAGAGAAACGTGTCGACCGGATCGGCTCGAGACCACTCGGCCAGAATCGACCGGCTCGAGCAGTTGCTAAAAAATTATGATGTTGAAAAACGGTTGATGACTATGGCGATGGCCGACACCCGTAGCGATATTAGTACGACCGATAATATTAACGATTGTGTTAATAAACTGTGCGCGTTGAAACATAATGGCCGTACCATTCGCAATATGCTGTATGAGATGCGATTGGCCAAAGCCAAACATTATATGACCTGCAATGTAATTGATTGTCCCCTTCCTAATTCAATTTTTATAGATTAAATTTGGTTGTAATTTATTTATATAAATTTAACCTAGATATTTTATGAATTCATTGAGTTATACTTAATGAATACCTTATTTTAACCATTATTCGATTTGATACTTGAATCCTGAGATAAGTACCAGAATTTGGTTCAAATGTTGACCCGTTTTGAGAGTTTACCGGCGATTAAGACATACATGAAATCACCGGAGTTTATAAGTTAACCACTCTTTTAGCCACATGTTAACTGGGGCTTCAAAATATATTTAAAATTTATTTTCATATATTTTGTTATTATTTTAATACATGTTAAAATAATGTTACAATTTAAATAATTTACACTTAATTATGAATTGATCTTTACACATTTAAGAATAGTAGAGTATACGAAATAGTTTTATATTTTACTTGAATAACTATAAGCAATGTGTCCAAAAGATTGAAAAAAGATTAAACCATTTATTCCCGTATAACCGGATAATAATGAGTATTCAAATAAAACGTTACGCTATAGAGGAGAGGAGAGAAGGCTTATGTTGTAACTTATGTTGCAAATAAAGTAACGATATATAGTGATGATTATTTATAGATAAGGAGGGCACAACATATATTATGTCTAGGTAATTCAGTAAAATTGGACACTAAGACTATAAGTATATATACTATAACTAACGTATGATTTTATTTTAATTAATGATTTAATAACTCAATTAACATTACAGTAAATGCGACCACAGATGCCATAAATGAAAATAAAAATTTCACATCAATTGTAAACACATTTAACGCATTGTATTTGAATTTACAATAGTTTTTAACTGTATTTAAAAATACGGCAAATTTTCTGGTAAACACTTTGGATGTATTGGTTTTATTGATAATATCAATTATTTCATTCACTGTCGGTCTATGGGTCTGAAAATAATTGATTGTTAACACAACGATCACATTTATGACTACAATCAACACGTATTCATGTAAACCTTAATAGTAATAAATATTATATCTATCAACATATCTATTAATTGAGATATGAGTTAATCGGAGACAAGTGCTGACAAATAAACCACAAAACCATAAAAATGGTATAAAACCCATAGAGCTATTAATTCGCGATTTACATTGTTAAATTATTTCCAAACTATGTTCTAGGTTAAAATAATTACTATTATAATTACGTAACAGTCGTTTTTTCAATATATAGACTCCAAAACACATGTGGATATATAATAAATTGGTGGCTATAATCCAGCCAAATAAAGTAAATAACCATATAATATTAAATAGTATACGAACATTGCCATTAATCGTAAAGCGAATAATTATAGCAACACAGTTAATAACCATAAATGCCAACCATGCTAAAGTATTGAATCTGGCGCTGAGTCTCATTGAATTTACATCATTTACACTTAATTCTTGTGACAAAACGGACAGAATATTCTTGATTTTACCGCACTTTACCTGAAATAATATGTAACTAATACAGATGATAGCCATTTTAACCAAGCTTGAACATGGCCATTAGGCTAGATTACTTGAGCTTAAATTAGATAGATAATTGGAGGTAGAAATTACAAAACGTATAATAGTGCCAATTGCTAATAGTTTACATGTTACTTGTATGGATTTTTTGAGATACCATAGCTTTCTATTGCTATTATCTGTGAAACTAATATCGCAGCCAATTATCAGTAATATCAGTGAAAACGGATGTATTATGCAATTTGCATTTACCCTCAACCATAATTGATTAGAGATGTAAAGTTATAAATTAAATTTCATTATATTTAAAATGTTATGCGAGTTTGTTCAACATTATTTTAGTTGATTATAATTATAATAATGCGTAAAAGAGTGATAAATTATTTATTTTAATATGTATCTTTATTTTAATATTTATTTTATTTATAAATATATTTATGACTATTTAAATAACATTTGATTGATTGTTTACATTAATGTTTTTAATCAATAAGTCCAACAATTTTCCACTAATTTAGATAATAAATTACGTTTTATCAAAATCTTATTAAGATTTATCAACTATGTAGAAATTAGAAAACATTTTAGGTGTTAAAATTATTTATTATTTAATATTTTTATATTGTTTTACTAAATAAAAATTAAGAATATGAAAATTTTATTTATTATTACAATTATTTAATAATAGAAAAGCACAACAATTTTAACAAATAAATAAATTAAACATTATATTTGACATTAATGATTTAATAATTGGACTAACATTACAGTAAACGTAACGACAGATGCAATGAATGTGAATAAAAATTTCACATTAATTTTAAATACATTTAAAGCATTGTATTTTTGATTATAATAGTTATTAACTGTATTTATAACCATTGTCATTTTTGTAGTCAACACTTCAGGCGTATGGGCTTTATTGATAATATCCATCATCTCATCCACTGTCGGTCTATGGGACTGAAAATAATTGATAGTTAACACAACGATCACATTTATTACTACAATCAGCACGTATTCAGTTAAACCCCAATAGAGTAGTGTTGGCCTAAAATTGCTAATAATAGAGATATGCGTTAATCGGAGACAAGTGTTGGCAAAGAGTTCGCAAAACCATAGAAACTGTATAAAACCCAACGAGTTATTAATACATGATTTATAATATCTAATAATATGCAATTTTTTCTCTAGATCAGTATAATTATGACTAAATAGCAATCTCTTTTCCAGCAAGTAAACTCCATAACAAAAATGAATATACAGTAGATTAGTGGCTATAATCCAACCAAACGCAGTAAATGTCCATATTAGAAAAGCATCTATATCATTTCTTTTAATCATAAAATCAATTATAAAGGCCACACAATTAATAATCTCAAATGTAAACCATATAATAATAATAAATCTGGCGCTAAGTCTCATTGAATTTATATTATTTACACTTAATTCTTGTGCCAATTCCGACAGAATATTCTTGATTTCAGTACATTTAACTTGAAATAATACAAAGCTAATGCAGATGATGCTAATATTCACCAGAGTTGAACATGGCCATAAGGCTAGATTGAGTGAGCTTAAAGTAGATAGATTCTTAGATGACCAATACACATAA